GTTGCTGCATTTTTCTGTAATGAACATAATGATTAATTGTTTTTTCTATTGTTGTCAAATCAGGTTATGGGCAAGAGTATGAGAATTACCAGGAGCTCAACTTTACGCTATTCCAGTCTGAAGAAAGGATGCTTGGAATTCAGAGGCTACTTCAAAAGAGTACGAAAAGCTGCCTAAAGAATGGAAGGAAGAAATCTTCTCCTTCAAATCACAATGAAATCCTCCCAGCTCAGCAACTTCAGCAACAAGTAGGAAGTGAAAAATATTTTGGGGATGACAAGAAAGAGAGATCGAAATTTGTTTTTAGTAAATATTGTACAAACCAGATTGAAGAGAAACAATATGAACGTCAAGAGTATGTGCAAAGTATCAGTCTTAGCTCTTCTCTTCTTTTACATCACCCATCATTCATCCAAGAGACACCGTATGCACTTATAAATTGTGTGGAAAAATTCACATTGAACAGTCATCTTATATTGGATGGAGAGGATAACCCATATGAGTGTGGAAAGGCTTTCACCAAGAAACAGTTGCTTATTTTACCCCCAGAAAATCCCCCATTGGAAAAACAATATAAATGTCCGGAGTGTGGCAAGACCTTTACTCATAGATGTAAACTTACTGTCCATGAACGGACGCACACGGGGGAGAAGCCATATACGTGTCAGGTGTGTGGGAAAAGATTCAGTCAGACTGGTCACCTCACCAGACATGGACGAACCCACACTGGGGAGAAACCATATACGTGTCTTCACTGCGGAAGGAAGTTCAGTGGAAGTTCAAACCTTATCAAACATGTAAGGAGCCACACGGGAGAGAGACCGTATAAATGTACAGAGTGCGATAAGAGCTTCAGTCGGAAAACGACCTTTATTTATCATAAAAGGATCCACACAGGAGAAAAACCCTACGAGTGCCTGGAATGCGGGAAGAGCTTCGGGCGTAACTTTAGCCTGATGCAACATAAAAGGACCCACACCGGGGAGAAACCGTATCAATGCCTGGTCTGTGGAAAGAGTTTCAGTGGATCCTCGGATCTTATGTATCATAACAGGATTCATACAGGGGAGAGACCGTATAAATGCCTGGAGTGCGGAAAGCAATTCAGTAGGAGAAGTCGCCTCACGGCTCACAAAAGGAAGCACACAGGGCAGAAACCGTACACCTGCCTGGTGTGTGGAAGGAGATTCAGTCAGAGTGGTCACCTCACAAGACACAAAAGAACCCACACCGGGGAGAAACCGTATACATGTCTAAAGTGTGGAAGGAACTTCAGTGGAAGTTCTAGCCTTGTGATACATGTGAGAATTCACACGGGGGAGAAACCATACAAATGTACCGAGTGTGGAAGATGTTTCCGTCAGAGAACCACCTATATTTACCATCGAAGGATCCACACAGGAGAAAAACCCTACAAATGCCTGGAGTGTGGGAAGAACTTCAGGCGAAACGGTCACCTTATGAAACATAAAAGGATGCACATGAGTGAGAAACCCTATAAGTGTTTGGAGTGTGGAAAGAACTTCAGTGTTCGCTCAGATCTGAACTGTCATAGGAGGATTCACACGGGGGAGAGACCGTATAAGTGTTTGGAGTGTGGAAAGAGTTTCAAATACAGCAGTCATTTTATTTGCCATAGAAGGATTCACACTGGGGAGAAACCATTCAAATGCGCAGAATGCAGAAAGAGCTTCAGTCAAAAAAATCACCTTTCACAACATAAAAGAATCCACAGAAGAGAGAAACCGTAGCTTGAGAGCTTCCATCACAAGGGAAAACCCACCAGAAATAACTTGACTTTGCCATAACATTCAGTTCGAAAGGTCATCTCATTAGATCGAAATGAATCCACATTGGAGAACCATAAAAATGGTGTGAAAATGTGGCACTGTCCTTATTTCCCACAGGAAAGTGGGAAAGTCTATGAGTATGTGTGAAGTTGGATGAATTTCATGGATGCTAAACCTGCAAACTGTAGGCAGAACTAACTGATCCATACAGGACATGGTACAGCAAGAAATGGAGCAAAGCAACTATTTTCAAAGGATGTGTCATAATAAATACCAGTTCCACTTAGGAGAAAAACTGCATAAAAGAGTGAAACATGGAGAGGGTTTGTAGGTTTTTTTTTTTTTTTTTTTGCCTAAGTCTTCACCAATAGATCATGAGCCCCTCTCCATATTGTTAGACCAATTTTGAATATTTTTCTTGATATAATCTGGGACTGTTGTATCAGAGGCTGACAAGGATTATATGATTGATCAGGTTAAGTCCCATGCAAATAAACTGAGGCTGGTGCAAATGTTTAGCCTTGGGGGGGGGGAAAAGCAAGAAGGATTTAATATCTGTCAAAGCATCTAATGCAGTTCCCATAGAAGAAAGGAAAGGTTTATCCTGCAGTGCAGAATAAACATGGCAGAATCGGGTTTAATTTACAAATTATTATGATAGCGGTAAAACTGTTAAACGCACAATAACTACCTCTGTTAACACACCAACCTCATAATAAAAAAAGCAGGATTGCATCTTCTCTCCAAGAATCCACATATTATGCAACTTTGTAAAAAGTTGCATAATTGCTTCTCCTTTAATTTCAGAATAAAATAGTTGAGGGTTCCCCCCCCCCCCTTTTCCATTTGTATCTCTAGATAGAGATCAGTTGCTTCAAATTAGTGTTGTGTTTTCCTCATTATTCAAAGACATTTAAAGATAGGAAGCTAGAATGTGAAATGATTGAACGATTATGGAGATTCTCAGTCATCCATGTCACGGTTGTCCCAAAGGTCCCTCTTTTTTCAAGACGCAACTGGACTTCCTTTGTTTTTCTTTGAAAATGTTTTCATTTCTGATTCTTCAGCTCTGACTGGATGGTGGGGAATGGAAGGATTTATATTCCTTGCAGCCAGCTGGTCATTTGCATTCTTTCAGAGTAGGGCTATCAAACTCTGGTCACACCCATGCTCGGTTTAGCGAAGGGGGAAAAGTCATGATGCATCATGTGACAATGCCTCGATGATGCGAGTTTGACACTTATTTTAGAGAGTTGTTGAGGTTCACTTGGAGGTTTATCTCTGTCCTTCGCTTCACCTGAATGGTGCAAATGGGTATGGAGCCTTTTGTAGGAGAAACCAGGCTTAAAGTGTACTATAAGTAAAAGAGCCAGTTTGGTCAAGTGATTAAGTCAACAGGCTAGAAAACAGGAGAAGATGAATTCAGTTTCTGCCTTAGCCATGAAAGCCAGCTAGCTGGGTGACTGGGCCAGTGAATCTCAGCCCAGCTCACCTCACAGGTTGGTGGTTATGGGGAAATAGGAGGAAGAAGTTATCTTGGATATGTTCATCACCTTGAGTTATTTGCAAATGTAATAAAGCTGGGATATAAATATCTAAATAAATGACCATTTCTTCTTTAATTAAGACAAGCTCCAATATACAGTCCATTCTAAATGCCAGTCATTCCAGAGACAATCGCCCCAAATAGCAGACTATCCCATTCCAATAAACATTCCACTTTTTAACTCCAATCAGAATTGGAATAGAGTGGAAGGGACCTTGGAGGTCTTCTAGTCTAACCCCTTGCTCAAGCAAGAGACTTTATACCATTTCAGACAAGTGGCTGTCTAGTCTCTTCTTAACCCCCACCCCCCATGAAGCACCCACAACTTCTGAAGCCAAGCTGATCCACCGGTTTATTGTCCCCACTGGAGGTTTTTAGAAGAGGCTGCACAGAATTGCCACAGGGTCTCCTGCTTGAGCAGAGGGGTTGGACTAGATGCCCTCCAAGGACCCTTCCAACTCCGTTATTGTGTTACTGTTTTCTTGGGGGAGGGTTGCGAAGAGAAGGCTGTGAATCAGTAGTGGGTGACGAGGAGGAGGCAGGACGTTTTGCATCTTTCTTCTTCCAGAAGGAAGCCTCAATTAAGTTATTGTCAGAAATGGTATAGTGTGTAATTAAGTTGTCAGAAATGGTACTGTGTGTGTGTGTGTCCTGCGTGAGCAAGGGGGGGCGTTGGACTAGATGACCTCCCAGATCCCTTTCAGCTCTGTTGATGAACACCGAACGACCCTCGACTGGGATCCTCTCCTTCCACCCCGCCTGGAAACCACAGCGCCAATCCACCCGATGATTCTGCAACGCAGGAGGGTTCCCAAACTGACTTGTGAACTTCAACTCCCAGAATTCTCCAGCCAGCTCCGCTGGCTGGAGAATTCTGGGAATTGAAGTCCACAAGCCTTAAACTTGCCAAGTTCAGAGTCCTCTGCCAATGCGTCGTAGGTGTTCCTTGCCTTAGGAGAGGGACGGAGCATGCGCCGGAGAGCTTTGCGAAGAGCGATTGGCTACTGCTGGAAAGAGGCGGAAGGCGAGTGGGTAGACGGCCGCCATAGAAAAAAAAAAAAAAAAAAAGGGAGTGGGGAGAGCGGGAGGCTGCCGGAGTCTCGCCTCTCTAGGAAGAAGCGCTCTCTCGCCCCGCATTCCGAGACCTTCCTCTCACTCTCCCCCCGCCCCCCCCCCACACACTCCCCTCAGTCCCTGAGGCGGCGAGGGCGGGGATTTGTTCCTTAAACAGAAGAGCCGGGAGCGACTTGGACCGTGGGGAAGCGCGAACCCGCGTGTCCGAAAGGCTGCCTTCCTTCCCCAGCGGGGTGCGGCGGCGTCTCCAAAAAGGGTGGGTGGGAAGCCCCCCACCCACCCATACTCCCTTGGCCGGTTCAGCCACGCCGCTCTTTCTTTCCCACGGAGACCCCCCACCCACCCACCCGCGGATGCCGCGATCTCGGGGGGCGCTTTAAAAGCGGGTCAGCCGATAGGATTGACCTCTGTAAGAGGACCGAGGAGCCAAAGGGGATGCGACGCGTTGCCTTGGGTTGCATTTGGGTTTATCATGGTCCGGGGGGCGGGGGGAGGGCGGCTTAGCAATGTAGGCTATAATAGCATCGATTTCATAGAATAACAGAGTTGGAAGGGACCTTGAAGGTCATCTAGTCCAACCCCCTGCTCAAGCAGGAGAGTCTATTCCAAATATAAGCCTCTACCAAGGATCGAACTCACAGCCTCCTTTATTAGACTTATTTATTTATTTATTTTATTTTATTTTGTCAAGCGATTATAACAGGTATAAGGATAAACATAGTTATGAATACATGAAATGGATACATATAAGAAAAATAAAAAGAAACAGTAGGACAGTGATGCATAAGCATCACTTGTTGTTGGCACATAAGCGCACCAACGTGCCTACCGTCCCTGTCCTATTGTTTCTTTTATTTTTCTTATATTAATCCATGTATTCATAACTATGTTTTTACTTATACCTATTATCTTGTAAGCAATTGACAAACCAAATAAAATAAAAAATAAAATGTTAGGCACATTGGTGCGCTTATGCACGCCCCCTACAGACCTCTTAGGAAAGGGGTGAGGTCAATAGTAGACAGTCTAAGGTTAAAGTTTTTGGGATTTGGGGAAGAAACCAGAGTCAGGTAGAGTATTCCAGACATTGACCACTCTGTTGCTGAAGTCGTATTTCCTGCAGTCAAGTTTGGTGCGATTAACCTTGAGTTTGTATCTATTGTGTGCTCTTGTATTGTTACGATTGAAGCTGACATATTCATTGACAGGTAGGACATTGCAATGTGTGATTGTATGTACTATACTTAGATCAGACCGAAGGCGGTGTAGATCTAGGTTTTCTAGGTCTAGAATTTCGAGCTTGGTGGCATAAGGTATTTTGCAATGAGTAGAGGAGTGGAGAACTCTTCTTGTGAAATATTTCTGGAATTTCTCAACTGTATTAATATCAGATGCGTAATGTGGGTTCCAGACTGATGAGCTGTATTCAAGTATTGGTCTAGCAAAAGTTTTGTATGCTCTAGTTAGTAGTGTGATATTACCAGAGAAAAAGCTATGTAGGATTAGGTTAACAACTCTTAATGCCTTTTTGGCTATGTAGTTACACTGGGCTGTAGCACTTAGATCCTTAGAGATGAGTACTCCAAGGTCCTTGGAAGGCTGAGTAGACCTTGAACCTGGGGAGATTGGAACTGCCAAAATGCTGGCAGGCAGCAGATTAACAGGGTTGGAAGGGACCTCGTAGTAGGTCATCTAGTCCAAGCCTCTGCCCAAGCAGGAGACCCTACGCCAAGGGTCTTCCGACTTGGCAAGTTTAAGACTTGTGGACTTCCAACTCCCAGAATTCCTGAGCTAATATGACTGGAGGAGGAATTCTGGGGGTTGAAGTCCACACATCTTAAAGCTGTCAAGTTTGAAGACCCTGCCCTACACCAGAAGTAGCCTGCGCCACCATCGCTGGAGGAAGAAAAGACTGGACAGCCACCTGTCTGGAAGGGTCTCCTGCTTGAGCAAGGGATTGGACTAGATGTCCTCTAAGGTCCCTTCTGGCTTTCTATTCTGATGAATGGGTGGATGGATTTCTTGTTGGCTCAGCCTTTCCTTTAAACCAAGGGTCTTCCAAGTTGACAGCTTTAAGGCTTGTAGACTTCAACTCCCAGTCATTGTTAGCTCAGGAATTCTAGGAGTTGAAGTCCACAAGTCTTAAACTTGCCAAGTTTGAAGACCCCTTGCTTTAAATTGTTCTTCCAGTGTTTTAGAAGGACAGGTGCAAACTCTTTCTCTGCAGGTTGACTATCTCTGGCTTGTCCACAGGAAAGAGGTTCAGTGTCTGGAGGCTCTTCGCTACATGCGGCCAGGAAGGAGAGGAGCAGAATAGACGCCATGGGAAGAAGCCCTCAAGATGGACATGCCAAAGTCAGGCAGAGAGTGGAGAGGAGTTCCAAGCCCTCCTGCCACTGAGCCGGAGGAGAGAGGGGGGGTCTGGCCCGGAGCCAGGCAGGAGACCCTCCCTGAGGAGCCCCTCAGCTCAGAGGTCGAGCGTTTCCGCCGCTTTTGCTACCTGGAGTCCGCGGGATCCCGGGAAGTTTGCAGCCTTCTGCAGCAGCTTTGCCATCGATGGCTGAAGCCCAAGAAGAGCAGCCGAGCTCAGGTGGTGGACCGGGTGATTGTGGAGCAGTTCTTGGCCTTACTGCCCCCGGAGATGGCGGGCTGGCAGAGGGAGTGCGGGATGGAGAGCTACTCCCAGGCGGTAGCCCTGGCCGAAGGCTTCCACTTCAGCCAGGCTGAGGAGCAGAGGCAGCAGGTGAGAGAATCAATCTTGGGAGGATCCTCTCGGGCGATAATTTCCTTTCACTGGCCAGGGTGTCAGCAACCCTCTGCTCTCCCCTCCCAGTCACTCCTTCCCTGGCCTGAGAAAGTAAAACACAAAAAGCAGAAATGAGAGGGAGAGAGAAAGAGACCCATTTCCCACAGAAAACACCGCGAGCCACAAAACCCGGGGAGGCGTGGCCAGGGAGGGGTCATGTGACTGGGTGGGAGTGATGTTGAGTTGGCCACGCCCACCCAGGTTTTGAGGCTCCCACAGGTGAGAATACAAAGTTCCAGAGTTCAAAATATTCAAACAAAAACAAAACCAGACTCAAAAGAGTTAACTGTACTTTTTTCCAGTCCTTGGCAGTCTTCCCGGAATCTGTCTGGCAGTTCAGAATTGTCCATAAATCACAACGGCTGCTTCAAACGTATCCTTTTGAATCCACAAAGCACTTTGCTCCAAGCAAAGATTGAGAGTCAGCACGCCTCCTTAAATCCCCTGGATGGGCGTGTCAGTCTCTCTAATCAATGTCTGGCTTGACGCCTCCTTTCAGATTGTGATTGACATTTCAATCTTCTCCTAGTTCTAGCGTCAAGCCAACATCCGTCAGTTTCCTCCTCGCTAGAAGCCTCTGGCTCATTTTGTGGATCAGCTGCTGGCATGAACGAAGTCGAAGGTTCTGGAGAGGACTGTCTCTCCGACAGTCTCTCATCCTCCTGGCTCACATCTGTGTCCTCTGATAATTCAGACTCCACATTCACAGCAGGCTCAAACCTTCCATCTTCAGAGGCATCAGAGTCAAAACTCCCAGCAGGGTCAATCCTTCCAGTCACAACAATTTTCTATGGGAAACGGGTCCAGATGGCTCTTTGAGTGTTTAAGGTTGCAGGCCACTGCCTGTCTGCCTCAAATGCACTTTGTAGCAATAGAAGAAGCTTTGGTTTCCCTCCATTTCATCTCCAGAGTGGTGCTTCCCCATCCAGATTATTCCTCAGAAGGGAAGAGAATCCCAAGTGGATTTGCATTTTCCCTAAAATGGTCCAGCTTTGAAGGCATAGAACACAGGTGTCACGCAGAGCCATTTGTGCGGGGACGAGAGCCCAGCCAAACTTACCTGTACTGCACATGCATGTGCCTCCCAGCTGATCTTCGGCCCGTTTGAGGCCATTTTCACCCTCCTGGAATGTGATAATTTTCATCTGTATCAATATTATTTTTGTACCAAAACAAATGATACTCAGACCCTACATTGTCCATGAAATGATGTTGATTTATGTTTAAAAAAAAAAAAAAAACTTTACCAAAAAAAATGAATTCCAGGGTTTGGTGTCCTTTGAGGAGGTGGCTGTATATTTCACGGAGGAGGAGTGGGCGCTGCTTAATCCCAGCCAGAGAGCCTTGCACAAGGAAGTCATGCTGGAGAATTTTAGGAATGTGGCCGCTCTGGGTAAGGACCTGTTTTGCTTTGGGCTCAGTTAATTGTGGAAAGTCTTTGTCAACTAAAAAAATACTCCTTTGGTCTTTCTAGTTGCCAGCAGAAAGGGAGTGGGGGAAAGCAGTGCATTCCTTAAATGCCTCAGATAATCACCTTGGCTGCCCAAAGTTGTCGGCGTGCAAGAATATTACTGGAGAGCATAATTGATGACTCTTGCTTATGGATGTATCCCATTGGAGAATATACATCCAAGGGGTGGAAGGAAGATCAGAGTCAAGGGGGAAATGAATGATGTATTTTAGTGTCAGCCCACCTCGCTAACGCCAACATGGCTACTCTTAATAAATCTTTTTTTTTTTTACTCTGGGAGATACTAGCACCTAGCTAGAATAACCACAGGAAGAATGTGACCTATATCTGTCTGACTTCTGTTCCTCATAACGACCCATTTTTAATAACCAATGGCAGTTCTCATACTAGCTGTTTGGTCAAAGGGCCGTCCTTTGGCTCTGAGTAAATCATGTATAAATTCCCTGTAGGGCTGAGAAAAAGTGCTATTTCTCTGAGTACTTCAGTCCAATATTGTTTTTTCGGCAGCTTTTTTAAAAAGATGCTATTGGGAAACCTGGGAAGATTTCAAGAAGCTGCATCAGTTTAAATTCAGTTGCCACTGGACTAGACAAATGTCACACCAACTGCTGCCTAACATAAAGATGCTTTTTCAGGAGGCAACTGGACTTTCTTGTCTCTTTCTTTGAAGATGTTTCTCTTCTCATCCAAGAAGCTTCTTCAGCTCTGCCAGGATGGTGGGGAATGGAAGGATTCAAATCACTGGTCATTTGCATTCTTTTAGAGTCGTTGAAGCCACCTGTAGGTTTTTCTGTGTCCTCAGGGTCACCTGACTAGGGCAAATGGGTGTGGAGCCTTCTTGGAACGGTCCTTTCAACAGTTGTCTGCAAGGAGTATAAATCTTTCCATTCCCCACCAACCAGTCAGAGCTGAAGAAGCTTCTTGGATGAGAAAAGAAACATCTTCAAAGAAAAAAAGGAAAGTCCAGTTGCCTCTTGAAAAAACATATTTGGGACAATCATATATATATATATATATATATATATATCAGTAGGTGGTGGTGAGGGGTGTGGATGAGCCCAGCGGTGGTAGAGCACGTAGATTCTGTTGCTTGAAGCCAGGCAGTGGCAGGGATCCCAGCAGAAGGGAGCTATGATGGATGCCAGGGAAGAAGAAGATAATAATTGCACAGAGGAGGAAAGGAAAGAAGGTCCACGGGGGATGATGGTAGTCGAATACCGCATTGACTTCCTCTTGGCCATGCTTTACAGGGTGACCAAAAGAACACAGATATGGGAGGGAGATAGATCAGGGGCTGCTGAAGCCGAGGCAATTCTACAATCCCCTTGAAAGTGTCCCTTGCTTTAGAAGAACGGAGTCCAGTGGACAATCTGTACAGCATAGGGCATTTCCAAATATAATAATAAACGTCAAGGCATCAATTGAAGAGGTCCACAATTCCTTCATCCATTTAATTCTTAATGGCCCCTTCTGATCATTCAGTCTTTGGATAAAGATTAGATTTTTTTTCATAAAAAACAACAACAAATACCTCATAAAATTAAGAGGGAACAGTTGCAGAGGCATTACTAAAAATAAAATAGAAATGTGGTTCCTTACAGGCATACAAAGAGAAATTCAGTAAAATCTTAGATATACAGAAATAACAGGTGCAGCTTTTTTTCCTTATTGTGAATATAGTGATTAACTTTTTTCCCCTTTCTTTTTCAAACCAGGTTACAGGCAGAAGCAAAATAATTATAAGGAGACCAGGGTAACACTATTGCAAATGATCAAGTCTGAAGAAGGCATGCTTGGTAATCAAGGGGCATCACGAAGGAGTAAGAAAACCTGCATAATGAATGGAAGGAAGAGTTCTCCTTCTTTTGAATATAATGCATTCCATGACTTCACAACTCAGCTAGTTCAACAACGAAAAGATAAAGGAAAATATAGTGGATGTGATGAGAGAGGCAACAAGAAGGTTGATTTCCGTAAATACCAGACTGAAGAGGAACAACACGAATATCAAAACGATGGGAAGAGTGTCAATTATACCTCTTCCATTAATTTACATCACCAGTCGTATCTCAAGGACACACCATATGCACCTGCAGATTGTGAGGAAAGTTTCAATTTGAGCAGTCATCATATTTCCGATAACGGTGGAAAACAGTGTGAGTACGAAGAGGGCTTCACTAAGAAACAGTTGCTTATTTTACCCTCAGAAACTCCCCCAAAGGAAAAACCCTATAAATGTTTGCAGTGCGGAAAGGCCTTTACACAGAGATGTAAATTTACTATCCATGAAAGGAGCCACACAGGGGAAAAACCGTATGTGTGCCTGGTCTGTGGAAAGACCTTCACACAGAGATGTAAACTCAACATACACGAAAGGATCCACACAGGGGAGAAACCATATATATGCTTGGTGTGTGGAAGACGATTCAATCAGAGTGGTCACCTAACAAGACACAAAAGAACTCATACTGGGGAGAAGCCATACACGTGTCTGAAGTGTGGAAGGAAGTTCAGTGAGAGTTCAAGCCTTGTGATGCACGTAAGAAGCCACACGGGAGAGAAACCATACATATGTATGGAATGCGGAAAGAGCTTCCGTCAAAACAGTGTCTTTGTTTGCCATAAAAGGATCCACACCGGAGAAAAACCATACAAATGCACTGAGTGTGGAAAGAACTTCAGTCAGAACAGTAGCCTTTTGAAACATAAAAGAATTCATACAGGGGAAAAACCATATCAATGCCTGGACTGTGGAAAGAGATTCAGTGTACGCTCGGATCTTACATATCATCGGAAAATGCACACAGGAGAGAAATCGTTTAAGTGTTTGGAATGTGGAAAGAGTTTCAATTGCAGCCGTTATTTTATTCGCCACAAAAAGATCCACACAGGGGAGAAACCATACAAATGCCTGGAGTGTGGAAAGAGTTTCAGTCAGAACAGTCATCTTGTCAAACACAGAAGGATTCATACAGGGGAGAAACCCTATCAGTGCCTGGAGTGTGGAAAGAGCTTTACCACTGCCTTACATCTTACATATCACAGAAGAATGCACACCGGGGAAAAACCTTACAAGTGTTTGGAATGTGGAAAGAGTTTCAATTGCAGCAGTTATTTTATTTGCCATAAAAGGATCCACACAGGGGAGAAACCATATAAATGCCTGGAATGCGGAAAGCAATTCACTAGGAGTAGCCATCTTGCCTATCATAAAAGGATGCATACAGGAGAGAAACCGTACAAATGCACAGAGTGTGGCAAGAGCTTTTCATATAACAATGGCCTTAGGTACCATCAAAGAATCCATACTGGAGAGAAACCATATACCTGCTTGAAGTGTGGAAAGAAGTTCAGTGCAAGTGCAAACCTTATGATGCATATGAGAATCCACACCGGGGAGAAACCGTATAAATGCACGGAGTGTGGGAAGAGCTTCCGTCAGAACAGCGTCTTCATTTGCCATAAAAGGATCCACACAGGAGAAAAACCGTACGAATGCACAGAGTGCGGCAAGAACTTCCGTCAGAATAGTAACCTTATCATACATAAAATAATTCACACGGGAGAGAAACCGTACAAATGCACAGAATGTGGAAAGAGCTTCAGCCACAAAAGTCACCTCACGAGACATAAAAAAATTCACACGGGAGAGAAACCCTGTAAGTGCACAGATTGTGGAAAGAGTTTTAGTCGAAATAGTCACCTTATGAAACATAAAAGAATCCACACAAGAGAGAAACCGTAATTTGGGAGTTTTCATCACCCAAGTATTTTCATCTTATAAAGGGAAAAATAGAAATATGGTGACTGTAAAGTTCAGTAGCCTTGTCAGACTTAAAGGAATCCACATGGCAGAACCATAAAAACACCCGAAGTGTGGAAATAAATTAAAAGAGTGTTGCACTTATTTCTCATAAGATGTCGTGTGGTGGGAAGAATGTCTGGAGTAAATGGAATTACCAGGACCAACCTTTTTTTTCCCTTAAAAAAAATACAGGAGAAGATACATAAATACGTTTATGTGCTACATGGACTTAAATGTGCTACATGGACTTAAATGTCCAAATGTGTGGAAAGACCATATCCATTTGGTATAAAAAGTATACCTAGGAACGGATTTAAAAAAACCCTGTTTTAATAAGGCCTATCATTTTACATCCTAGAGATGTTCCATTCAGGAGAGAAACTAAATGAGTGGAATGTGAAAAAGGTAGTGACAGCTGAACCTGCAAAGTGGCCGTGACAAAGAACAACTTCATATTGTTACTCGAAAAGGAATCATAATCATTGCCAAATAATATTTCTGATTGGCTAATCCCATATGTCAAGCCGTCTTTCTTTAAATACGATGCAGGCAAGAGATGAAGGGTTTGGATCATGACATGTGGATATTGTTTTGATCCCCTGAAGAGATCTCTGATTAAAATCCTGGATCTGAGCTTCACTTCTTACAACTTCCTCCATTTGGTTCTTCTCAGCCAATCAGTAATTATGACATTTTTTATAACATTATTTTTTTTCCAACCTGCAATGTTAAGGTTCCAGGTGGTCCAAGATAGGCCTTGTAGCTTAGTTCCTGAAATAGACCTCAGTTGCTATTTGCTGTCATTTGTTGGAACAAAAGAAATCCTAAATATACATCCAAAACATTTTCTCTGATAAAGAAAATGTGAAACAAGAATGAAAGAAGATTGAAAGGACTCCAGAGAAAAATGCCTGAAGGAGAAGGAATTATTGCTATTTATTATTATTATTATTATTATTGTTGTGGTTAATCTTTAGTGAGATTCACAACCTTTGGGGCTGGTTGGTAGCTCAACAGCTCGAGTTCTAACCAAAGACCTAGGAACTGTTAAGGTAGCGTCGGAAGATATAAGCTGTTCCAAGTAGGGTGGTTTTTTGTAGAATCAGGTTATTCAAGTCTGATAAATTCAGAATTTCCAAATAGCGAGGTAGCCCTTTCGGTATTGCTCCAAGGGCTCCAATTACAATTGGGATAACACACGATTTCTTTTTCCAAAGTCGCTCAACTTCCATTTGTAAATCCCAGTACTTTGTGATTTTTTTCTTGCTGCTTGTCTTCAATTTGTGCATCACCAGGTATTGCAATGTCAATGAACCAACCCTTTTTCTTTTCAACTATTGTTATGTCAGGTATGTTGTGGGCTAAGTGCCTGTCAGTCTGAATTCTGAAGTCCCATAAGATCTTGACTTTTTCATTCTCCAGAAGCTTCTCAACTTGATGTTCCCAGTAGTTGTTACTATACTCCAGGGGTGTCAAACTCATTTTCACCGAGGGCCATGTCAGCGTAATAGTTGCCCTCAAAGGGCCACATGTAACTCTATGATAGTATAAATGTAATCAAATGTAACTACTCCTAAATGTTAATTAGCTCTGAATTTATTATTTATTCAAATCACAAATATTACACATGCATTTGCATAAATGTAAAAAAAAAGGTTGCTAGTAGCTCTGTTAATATGACATAAAAAATTTACTTTGTCAAGTTAAACCCACATTACTCCATCAATCAATGATCAATCTATCCAAGTGAATAATAATAGAAAAACATCATACAACATCAGTTATGATAATAACTTTGTTCAAATCCTTTTTGTCACAGCTAGGAGGGGCAGAATAACAGAATAAGTACAACCAACAATTGTGAGGTGTTAAGAACATATGTGACAGATGTAGCATTTCACAAAAACAAATGGCTGCCTATAGCCTTGCAGATTTGTCTGCATAAACATATAAACCTATAAACACTAAATGCATTACTACACATATAAAGTTATATTTGTAAATAACTCAAAATAACAAAATCAGGGTTGTCTCAATTCACAACTATATTGTCTCAAGTTTTTAGGTGAAGTTCATGAGAAGATGCTGACTGTCCTGGAACACACAGAGTGGATCCCCTCTCCTCCATCATAATCCATTGATCATGTTCTAAAAATAACAAAATGTCAGCACAATCATTAAATTGCACAGTTTAACTATTCTTCTTGATTGAAATACATTTTATTATATATTAATTAGGTTTTTAAAAATGCTTACTTATGCATTTTCTGGCTGGATATTTGACACCATTTTTCCATAGCCAGTGTGTCAATGTCTGGTTTTAGGTCTTGTGCTGAAGCAATCCATAGAACAGCGTGGAGGTTCTCATCAGTGATACGTGATCTATGCTTGTTTTTGTTTAGATTCATTATTGAAAACATCTGTTCGCACAGATAGGTGCTCCCAAACATAGACAGAATACGGGCTGCATGACGTTGAAGCTGTGGCATTGAACCAGGGGGTATTTTACAGTAAAAGTCCTGGATTGCAACATCCTTGAACTTTGCTTTCAGGCTACGATTACTTTGAAGCTCGATTAACTCCATCTGAAGGTGCTGGGGTGCAGTGCAGACGTCGATGGTGAAAGGATCGGCAAAGATGGCAAAGTCTGAGTGTTGCGCCTTAAAGTCAGAGAAGCGCCGATCAAACTCATTTATTAATCGGCTCACTTTGGTAGCCAACTGAGCACATAAAAAAACACCAGGAAATGAGGCTGAAATGCTTTGACAAATAGGAATGAGCAAGATTGTCCTGTTTGACTTGGCACATCCACAGATCAAGTTTACACTGGAAAGCCGTGATCATGTCGGACATCTGCGTAATGACTTGTCTACGTCCCTGCAGCTTCTGATTCAGTTGGGCAAGATGCTCGGTTATGTCACATAACAGCAAAGTCACACAGCCAGTTGGGATCTGACAGTTCAGACATGAATTTTCCTTTACTTAGCATGAAAAGAGCAATATCTTCCCTAAGTTCAAAAAATCGTTTGAGGACTTTACTCCTACTCAGCCACCGTACTTCTGTATGGTACAGCACGTCTCCATACTCTGAGCCCATCTCCTGCAAGAACAGTTGGAACTGACGGTGATTCAGGCCACGCGCTTGAATGAAGTTCACAGTTTTCATGACTGTGGTCACTACATGATCCATCCCCAGCACCTTCCCACACAACGTTTCTTGATGAATGATGCAATGATATGTTACCAGAGGCATCTGACAATTACTTTTTAGCATTTTGTCTTTTATTAGTCCAACCAAGCCCACTTTTCCTCCACACATTGCGGGTGCAACGTCTGTAGATAATCCCACCAACTTTTCCCAAGGCAATGCATTTTTACTCATGGACTTCTCCACCATATCAAAAATGTCCTGTCCCGTTGTGGTCCCATGCATGGCAGCTACATCCAACAGCTCCTCAGTGACAGGTCCGACTTCATGCCTCAAATAAAAATGGATAGATGCGCTGTATCCGTGTTGTCTGTGCTTTCATCAAGAGCTAATGAAAAAGCTATGTAGCTATGTGTCTCTTGGGCCAGCTGCGTCGACAGGTTTCCTGCTAGTTCTGTAACTCGGTCCACAATGGTGTTCCTTGATAAAGTGACATTTTTAAAAGTCTGTATCTGGTCGGGGCACACCTGTTCACAGACCTTCAGCATGCACTGTTTCAACAACACGCCCTCTGAAAAACACTTTGAAGCTCGGGCGATTTCTTCTGCAACGATGAAGCTAGCTTTCACTGCCACAGTGTTTTTGGTTGTGGCTTTAGTGAACACATTCTGCTGCAATTGTAGTTTGCTTTTTAATTTTTCGACAATCTGTCGTTTTTCTGAAAGGCTAACTTTGGCATACTTAGCTCCGTGTTTGGTTTCAAAATGCCAACGTAGATTGTACTCTTTGACAACCAATAATGCCTTGTAACATAATAGACATACCGGTTTCTCTCCTTGAAGCACAAACATGTATTCACCTTCCCATCTTTCTTGAAACATCCTTCCATCTGCATCAACTTTCCTCTTCCTGGACATTTTAGGATCATTTGTAATTCCACATAATTCAACTTGCAGAAAATAACATTGATGCGGATACACTGCAACCTAGTGGCGGGATGTCGACAATTCGCTGGTAACATAATTGGTATGCATTCTGGGAAATGTAGTTTGTGGTCAATGCTCTCTTTTGCTTTATTTAAAGACAATCGGAACTTTGTAGCTCTCGCGGGCCACATAAAATGACGTGGCGGGCCACATTTGGCCTGCGGGCCTTGAGTTTGACACCTGTGCTATACTCAAATCCAAACTTTTGACACAGTTTCCAGTGAATGGTTTTAGCAACTCAGTTATGGTGGTTATGGTTCAGTTTGTGAAATTTTGCTGCACCCACTGATTAAATGGTCAACTGTTTCATCTTTCTCATTACAGAGGCAGCATTTGCTGTCGGTGGTGACAAATTGAATCTTTTGCCTTCATGTAATTTGTGGCTAAGGCTTTTTTCTTGAGCAGCCAAAATAAAGCCTTCAGTTTCTTTTTTCAGCATTCCTGATTTTAACCAGTTCCTAGTAAGCTTTTGGTCAGCTTTGCCTTCAATACTTTTCAAGTATTGGCCATGCATAGCTTTGCTTTTCCAATTTTCAGTTCGCTTCTCAATTACTCCTTTTTTGTATTCAGCTTTTGACTTGGTTGTCTTCAAAAGGCCTCCTTTGTGTACTTCCTTAATCATTGGCTCTTCACTTTTCTGGATGTAGTCATTCCAGCCATGTCTTTCTTCTTCTACAGTCTGCTTTACTTGTAGGAGACCTCGACCACCCTCTGCTCTTGGTAAATACAGTATAATCGATCAACATCACTTTTAGGGTGCAACGCGTGATTCATAGCTTCCTTGTTTTTCTGTCCAAATTGTCCAGCTCCATCTGGGTCCAGTCAATTATTCCTGCAGAGTATCGAATCACAGGTATAGCCCAGGTATTTATTGCTTTTATGATGTTTCCACCACTCAATTTGGACTTTAAAATCTTGCAAATTCTTCTAATGTACTTGGCTGAAGTTGATTCCTTGACTTTATTATGCATTAAATTAGAGGCTTCTAAAATCCCTAAGTACTTGTAGTTTTCTTTTGGTTTCATTACCTCATTTCTTTTTCATTTCTTTCATTTTCATTTCTTCATTTTCAAGTTCTATTCCATCATCTTCTATGACCTTGCCTGCTTGGATTGCCATTGTTGCACATTTGTCAATTCCAAAGTACATGCCGATCTCCTGGCTAAATTCTTTTGTGCTTTCAATTAGTGAATTCAGTTCACTTTTTGTTTTACCAAACAGCTTCAAATCATCCATGTACAACAAATGCGAAATTTTCAATCCTTTCTTTGCAAGTTCGTATCCACCTTCTTTAAAATGGTTGTCAGTGGTAGCATTGACAGAATAAATAGTAGGGGTGAAAGGGAATCACCCTGGAAGATGCCTCGTTTAATTTCAACTTCACCCAGTTCTTCTCCATTAGCCATAGGCTTCGTTTTCCAGAGGTTCATTGAAATTTCCATGAATTTTTGAATGTTGCTGCTGATGCCAAAGATTTCTAGGTATTTCTTAATCCAGACGTGGGGGACTGAATCAAACTCTTTCTTGTAGTCTATCCAAGCCATGAACAGGTTGGTTCGGCTTTTCTTTGAATTCTTCAGAATTAGCTTGTCAATCAGCAGCTGGTCTTTTGTTCCTCTTGAGTTTTTGCAACACCCTTTCTGTTCCACTGAGAGCAGATCTTTCCTTTTCAAGTATCCATAAATTTGATTTGCAATTATTCCAGTAAGAAGCTTATAGCTTGTTGGAAAGCCGGTAATTGGTCGGTAATTTCCTGGATCATTTCCTTTTTCTTTTTCTTTCTGAATTAGCCATTCATCATTTTCAGGCATT